TGATCAGAATCTCAAGTACACAATTCAAAACCAGCTGAAGGAAAATTCCATTGGCCTGGGGAAGCCCAGTGACAACACTAGAAGGGAGAAGCTGCGATGCAAAAAGTCCCACGACATTCCCGAGGAGGTGGCATCGTGCAGGATATCGAGGATTGGATCCAATGCTGCGTCGACGAATCATTTGGCCAAAAGAGGCCTCGCTGCTTTGCAAAATGGAATTCCCTTTGGTAGCTTGCAGTCCATAGAAGGAACCGAAAGTGATTCGGCCTCTGCGTCTTCTGATCCTTGTAAACGGCAAGAACTGAATGGCCAGTATTGCAGTGAAAGAGATCACTCTGCTTCACCTGCTCATAGCCAAGTGAGTGGCTCTTCAGCTGGTTCAGATTCTGCGGTGTCCTCATCTCCCGTTCTTCCCAGAAGTCAGGGCAAAAAGGCCCATTCATCTTCACCGAGTTACGTCAATACGGACAGCAAAGCAGCTGATGCCTGGTATGGTTCCGACGAATACTTAGCGCTTCCCTCACACCTCAAACAGACTGAAGTGTTAGCTTTGAAATTAGAAAATTTGACAAAACTGCTTCCTCAGAAACCTCAAGCGGAGACCATTCAAAACATTGACGACTGGGAACTCTCTGAAATGAACTCGGACTCTGAGCTTTACCCAACCTATCAGATCAAGAAGAAGCACAAAAGGTTAGGCAGAGTTTCACCCAGCTCTTCGAGTGACATAATATCCTCAGTAGGGGACAGCATTGAATCGGGGCCTCTTAGTGACATTCTGTCAGATGAAGAGCTTTGCACATCCTCACCAAGCATCAAAAAATACCTGGAAGAGAGGCCGCGGAAGCCGTCAGTCACTCAGCCCGCCGATAAAAATGACTTGTCTGCCACAAATAAATCGGCTTTAATTCAACAGCTGATGCAGGATATACAAGATCAGGATAATTATGAAATTATATGGGAAAAAATGGAGGTAAGGAAGAAATTAACAGTGTTTACATCTATACTGCTTCATTAATTTTTTTCCCTGCAGCTGGAAACACAAGGTTGATGAGGGGTGGGCAAGTTCCAAGAGTGTCAAGAAGTTATAAATGCATTTTTGCCTCCTTTTTATACCATTTCAAAATGGAGATGCCCAAAGTAGCTAACAGCAATATATGTCCAATGATATACACCGCAGAGAAAATACATCAAAATATATGAGTTCAAGTGCATTCACAAATTTTCATGCAAATTATCTATATATGTATACACACACACACACACACACACACACACATGTTCATACAGGACAGGACAGACTTGTGAAGGAACACACATGAAATTGACAGGAACTGGAAGTAAACTGATCCAATCATCCCTGCCATGAAAGAATAAAGTGTTTGTAAACGGTGCAACATAATGAACAATCTCTGGCATGATTAGGGATGTAAAAAGGTGCTGTTTTCCATTCTGCTTTGTTTTTGTTGCATGCAGCGCTGCTTCTGTTCCACTGCAGTTTATCTTCTGCCAAAAACTGCCTTATTCATCTCACTGTCCACTGTGGTGAAATGACGTAACTTATGTGATTAGCCATGCAAATGCTGTTGTCCTTACGTAATTCCACCCCATTTGTTTCAGTGCAAAGGACACACAATGCAAATGGAGGGGGAAATGTAATCAATTCTGGATTGTTTGTGGACTGAAAGCCAAAACACAGGAAATAGCAATAGCATTCACTGGATTGATTTCCATTCCAGACATAGGACAAATAAGCAAACACGAGTAGCCTTCCGCTTCTGTTTTCTATGACATCTCTAAGAGTAATAGCTGCATATTGAGATATTTAAGGCTGATCCACAAATACATTGTAGGCAATCCCCATCTCACATTTTTCTAATGCTTTTCCATAGTGATGCTTGGGAGTTGATGTAGCAAAACGTAGGGGAGGTTGTTTTCTACTCTTTTGCGTCTGCTGCTACTGCATTTAATATCCTTCTCAGACGTGGCTACTTGGCACCCTCTTGAGGCCAACTGGTGCTACTGCATCTCTTTCACAGATTTGTTCTGTTGTTGTTTTTAAATCAGGTCCAAATAGCTCAGTTGAGTGCAGTGGGACAAATTTCAACCAGCATGAAAGCATCCTGATTGAAGTCATGAAACACCTTTGAGGAAAAACAGGCAGAACGCCACATGTGAACTCAGGAAATACAGTTAGATTTCAAAAACTATTTTAACATCTTTATTCATTCGTTCGTTCGTTCATTGATTCATTCATTTCCCAGGCATAACTGCTCAAACGGTATCCATACCAAATTCCAACCGTGGTTTGGTTAGTTGTAGCTGGCTTCATAGTTCCAGGCTATTTGATTGTTTTTAATTTATCAGATTGAAGGCCATGATCCCATTTCTTCCTCGCCCCTTTTTTTAGCCTCACAGCTATCACGTGGGGTGGATTAAATTGAAAGATAATAACTAGCTTGGGGGAAAAAAATCTGTTGAACTTAATGGCTGAGCAGGGGCACAAACACATTCCTCAGAGTCAGTGTGGCCACATAACTATAGACGGAACACAATTGCCTCCTTTTGACGAGGCAATTGATTAACCACTGAAAGGGAGATTTTTTTTCACTTTGAAAAGGGCTTCCTGTTTTCGGCTCATCCCTAAACACACACCAAAACATGAAGGAATTCAAGACAGAAAGCTGTTATCAGAACAGTCTCCTCTTAAGGGCCTCTTTGGCTGGAATCTAAGGGTCAGTCCAGGCATGCATGTTCATTGCTTATTGGGCTTCAGCAGCTAGTTGTTGCCGAGAATAATATGAATCTGAGCACTCTCTGATGGATCTTCCCAAAATCAAGTCTCAAGCAACCCTTTTCAGGTTTTTTTTCCTTCAATTTTTGGAAATAATAACCAACAAAAAAGCTAGCAAATTATTTAGTATTGCAGGGTAGTTCCTATGTCATATTCCTTAGTACAGCATCCCATTCAAATACCATAAAGCATTAGCATTACTCGGATCTAGTCCAGCATAAACATACTTTGGGATGGGATGGAAGTAAATTTGGAATTTGCAGTCAGAATGAAAAATGGTAGATACTGCACACACAGCAACCTTCTCAGAGCTAGTATACATTTTTATTCTATTCTGGAGCTGCTTGTTTCTGGTAATTTTCACAGGGGGTATGAGGGATCACTCAGTTGGTAGAGCCTGAGACTCTTAATCTTAGGTTTGAGCCTCACATTGGGTGAAATATTCATTCATTTCAGGAGGGATGGATTAGATTGCGAACCGCCCTGAGACCTGCAGGTATTGTTGTTTAGTTGTTTAGTCATTTAGTCGTGTCCGACTCTTCGTGACCCCATAGACCAGAGCACGCCAGGCACGTCTGTCTTCCACTGCCTCCCCACGGTTTGGTCAAACTCATGCTGGTAGCTTCAAGAACACTGTCCAGCCATCTCATCCTCTGTCGTCCCCTTCTCCTTGTGCCCTCCATCTTTCCCAACATCAGGGTCTTTTCCAGGGAGTCTTCTCTTCTCATGAGGTGGCCAAAGTATTGGAGTCTCAGCTTCAGGATCTGTCCTTCCAGTGAGCACTAAAGGCTGATTTCCTTACGAATGGATAGGTTTGATCTTCTTGCAGTCCATGGGACTCTCAAGAGTCTCCTCCACCACCATAATTCAAAAGCATCAATTCTTTGGCGATCAGCCTTCTTTATGGTCCAGTTCTCACTTCCATACATCACTACTGGGAAAACCATAGCTTTAACTATACAGACCTTTGTTGGCAAGGTGATGTCTCTGCTTTTTAAGATGCTGTCTAGGTTTGTTATTGCTTTTCTCCCAAGAAGCAGGCGTTTTTTAATTTCGTGACTGCTGTCACCATCTGCAGTGATCATGGAGCCCAAGAAAGTAATACCTGCGGGTATAGGGCGGTATATTAAGTACATACATACATACCCTCATTGTCCCTTCCAACTCTACAATTCTATGATCCCTTCTCACCCATTGTAACATCTAACACTGGCTACCACTGCCTTTGCCAACCTGATGTCCTTCAGATGTTTTGGACTATAACTTCCATCAGCCCCATCCAGCACACCATTGGAGAATCATAGAATCGTAGAGCTTACAGTCTAGAACTAGAGGCAATGCAGAGAACAGAGGCAGGAAGAGAAGTGAGACAGGGTAAATAAGGAGAAGGGTATGTGGTTATTTCAGTCACAGGTAGATTTAAGCCCTATTCAGATGTTTCCCACTCCTTGTTTACCATCAGGCAGAAGGCAAAGGCAAAAAGGAGTGAAGCCATTGAACCAGTCCCACCACACGCGTCTTGTGGGGCAGAACCTCTGCATCAAAGAGCCTGCTATACTCCAATATGCTCCCTGCATGATTTAGAACTCTGATTTTCTAGGGTTCCAAATCATATGGGAACTTACTGGACTAGAAAAAGTTCTTCACTTCAGCAACCAACCCATGTAGGGCTGTACGGATGATAATGGGGATGGGGAGAGGCAACAGACTCATACCCACTGATCACATAGAGTGGGAAGATCAAAGAAATAGATCTTAGTTGCAGTTGGATCATAGAATTTAAGAACTGTAGAATTGGAAGGGAGTACGAGAGGCATCTAAGGGTCACAGGTGGCGCTGTGGGTTAAACCACAGAGCCTGATCAGAAGGTCAGCGGTTCGAATTCCTGCGACGGGGTGAGCTCCCATCGCTCGGTCCCTGCTCCTGCCAACCTAGCAGTTCGAAAGCACATCAAAGTGCAAGTAGATAAATAGGTAGCGCTCCGGCGGGAAGGTAAACGGCATTTCCGTGCGCTACTCTGGTTCGCCAGAAGCAGCTTAGTCATGCTGGCCACATGACCCGGAAGCTGTACGCCGGCTCCCTAAGCCAATAAAGTGAGATGAGCGCCACAACCCCAGAGTCGGTCATGACTGGACCTAATGGCCAGGGGTCCCTTTACCTTTATGAGAGGCATCTAGTCCCAATTCCTTGCAATGCAGGAATTTTTCGCATAACGTGGGGCTTGAACCTGTGACCCAGAGATTAAGAGTCTCATGCTCTACCAACTTGAGCCATCCCAGCCATAACCCAGTCATATTGGGTAGAGAAGTCATTATTACACTATACCTGGAAATAAATATTGCAATTCACCCCCGAAGGTGCACTTTTCCATTGTCTCCCAAGACAGACAGATACTAGCATCCAACAATGCTAGCCCCTTAAATTATGATTATTGTCATTCCAGGCATGAGCAGAGGTGAGATACCTATTTTGAAACCAACAACAGCGGTTGCTCCAAATTTACTGTGTTTGCCGAGGTCACGTATTTCTGATGTAGTCAGCATCAGTTGTTGACTCTTACCACACCTGGGCCCAGAACAAGCGAAAGTTGGACCGATACTGGGGAGGCGGGGTTCTGTTTTAGTTATTAAGGCATTTCTGCAACACCTTTCACATCATGTGGTGAACAGCAATTTTAAAAGTACGAAGATTGACATTAAAATTACAATAAATGAAATGTAGCTGAAAGCCCAGAGCAGGGTTAAAGTCAATAACCAGCCAGTTGAAAAATAAGTACCTGCAGGAGCCTGGGAGCACAGGTATGTTTGTAATAAGTGCCGAAAGGCCATCCATATTGGCACTAGAAGATCACTAGAAGAATGCTCTATCGTAAAACACCTTTGTCTGAAATAACTGCTGGCAATACCTGGTATACTGCACTTTAGCCTCCAGGTGGTGCTGTCTGCTTGAATAATGAGATTTAGGAAGTGGACAGTGTTATCTATCTTCTGACAGTAATTTTCAGTGTCAGGCTTTTAGTATTCTAAATAATTTTCAATCTCTACAGTTGTTTTCTTTTGAACAGTCTCCATAAAATTTTACAGACATCATCTGAAAAATAGTGGGATTATAGTGATTTGTGCTTTACACCAGAAAAGGGCCTTTTTCTGGAAACAGGGATAGCCACCTCTTCTTATGCCACTACTTCTATATTTTATCTTATCCTTGACTGTTGTTTACCAGAAACATGCCTGCTTTGTAAAGTGTCATTGCAAGGGGAATAATTACATTATTTTTTACAGATGAGTTCCACTTATCACCTCTTTGTGCCATATTAGTGCATGTGTCTCAATATCACAGGTTAAATATTCTCTACCACTGTTTTTCATTATGTCATTTTGTGGCTATACCTATGCAAGAAAATGAGATATAAATTGCTGGTGTTAGGATGCTTTTAAATAAGATCATGCGGTATAAAATATTTATATGTTGAACGTAACTATCCTTTTTACTGCTGTTGTTAGGAATAACTTTGCAGGATATTTCACAGAGTTTTCACATTCCTAGCTTGTGACCGTACTTCCTTCTCATCACGTGCCCCTGATCTATCTAGAAGTCATATGCACCGATGAGAAGCAGCTCTTGGCTCACAGATCGAGAGCCATAGACACAAAACAGCTGCTGTGTTTTGTGTGATTCTGCCAAGCAGGCCAGTAGCTGGGACCACATGTGTGTAGCATTGCAAAAGAAGCGACCGTTGCACTGACAAATTATTTGGAAGGGGAAGAAGGGGCTCGATTCAATCTGTCTGTCCCCTCTTTCAGTCTCCCATCCAAAGCGTTAGTGAGGGAGCATTGCCATAGTTCAGTGGCAGAGCATATGGCAGAGCACACAGAAGATACAAGTGCAATCCCCACCCTCTCCAGGAAGGACTAGGAGAGGGGTGGGCACTATTGCCTGAAGACATGGAGAGCTGATGCCAGCCAGTATACATCAGGGGTGGGAAACCTCTGGCCCTCCAGAGTTTGTTGGACCACAACTCCCCACCATTCCTGGCCATTGGACATAGTCATGGTTGTGACTGATGGGAAATCTAGGCCAATACCCTCAAGGGCCACAGGTTTCCTCTGAGGAAGCTGGCTCAATGGTCTGACTCAGCATAAGATGGCTCCCTGTGTTTCAGCTGCTGCTTATTTTATAAGGCTGTGCATGAAGGGTGATGTTAGCTACACCCATGCAGGGCTGGATCAGGGCAATTGGCTTAAATCTTTTACAAACACAACACTTACCGGGAAGTTCAGCAACAAGGACTTCTGCAAAAACCTTCCCTTTGTTCTCCCACTGAAGCTTCTACAGTATCTTTATTTGCTTTTGCTAATTTATTCATTATCCTTCAGCTAGAGGAACCCTTAAAGCAACTTGCCACATATTTAAAAGCAAATACAAAAGTATTCCATAAAATCTCTCTCACACACCCACACACCCACACACCCCCAGAAGAACTGAGAATGGAAAAACTACAGCAAAGCTAAAACCAGTTGTACCAGCAGGAAGAAAACACAAAAGAGTTCAAATATTTGATGAAATACAAACACCTGGATAAGGAATAGGGAACCTGTGACCCGCCAGCACCCTATTGGCCATGCTGGCGGGGGAAGATTGGGGCTAGAACCCAGTATCCGGGAGAAGGCAGTTCTTGACTGAGAGATGGACAGATCTGTCAATGTCAGATTTTCAGTTTGATGTGCAAACCAGGCCGGCAGATGCTATGCCTAACCTTCTCCCATCCTCATAAGCAAGAACTGCCACATTCTTTTAGTGTACGTTCAGAGCAGTGCCATGTTCCTTTAATTAAAATAAAGACATAACATTATTGTTCTTACCTGATTGTCATTTTACTAACAGCCATGCCATTGTCCCCCCTCCACCCCTTTTCTTTTTGTGGAAGGGATTTGTAAGCAAGCTAGACGAATTCATCCACTGGTTGAATGAAGCCATGGAAACGACAGAGAACTGGACTCCTCCTAAAGCAGAGACAGACAGCCTTAAGCTCTACCTGGAAACACACTTGGTAAGACAAGATTATTGATTGAAGCTGACAATGATTTCCCCCCTCCCTCTTTATTTAGCTTATCCCTGGGCCTTTAGCGAAAGTGTATATATTTTGTTAAAATACATAAAACCACAACAATGTAAAAAGAACGAGTAACAGCCCAACATTTGATCAGCAACAGTTAGCTTTCTGCCCCCAAGCTGCACACCTGCTCCCATGTAAGAGTTCAGCTCCTTCCAGAACAGGTTGAACCCCACCCATTCAGTCTAGGGAACCGCCCACTAACAGTGCCACAGTCAGAAAGCACACCACAACATACAGGAAAAGAAACAATTCAAGGAATTCAGGATCTAGGAGACTGGGGTGAGAGTTTTCTCTGTGCTGGTCTTATTCCTCCTGGGTTGAATAATTCCTCGGTTGTCAATACACTGGCACATCATAGTGGAATCATTCTGAATGTCGTTGAGCTAAAGTTGGTGACCGGACGATGCATTAACGTACATTGAAAATCACAGCACAGTTTTGCACCGGTAGAGTAATTATCAAGGTTGTAGCAGGCAAAGGGGCCCTGGAGGCTTGTAGTGCAATCAAAATCTCCAAGCTCTACCTGAAGCAAGGTGCACACAGCCTTGTGCATCACAAACAGTGGCCAATCCACCTCTGTTTATGTGGCCAGTTCACATCCATATGTGCATTATAATCTGCAGAGACTTTCTTCATTCTGCTGGAGCTTTGGAACTGAGTTTAATGTTGAGGAATGCTGTCCAAAAAAAGATCAAAGCTAGTTGTTGAAGTGTCACCTGCATGTTTAATCAAGGGGTTAATATAATGTGGGGGCAGGGAACCTGCAGTTTCACTTTGAATGGTATGCAGGTTTATATATTCCCAAATTACATGCACACACTAAGTTTCTGTCACCTAGCCTTCTGAAACTTACTTCTTGATTACACATACATAGGATTGCACTGAACGTTAATGAAGGGGCATTGTTTTATTGGAAGACAGAACTAGTCATTGCTTTGTGATCTATATTTTATTAATTAGAATGTCAACTTTGCATTTGCTCTTGGCCTGGCAGAAACGCTAATCTGTGTTTAAACAGAAGTATAAGAAATTAAGTTCCCATTAAGGGCAGTGACAAAATGATCTGGATATCGTATTTGCATTTGGCACTAACTTAAGGAGTGGAAATGGCAGGAGCTTGGCTGCCCCCAAATCATCTGTCCCATGACACTCCTCACGCAGCTTCCGACAGCAAGCCCTGGGTTTAAGTCTCAAGCCATCTTGCTGTGGAAAAAGTTCCATGTGTGTTCACCTGTTAGGTCCAGGGGTCAGCAGACTTTTTCAGCAGGGGGCCGGTCCACTGTCCCTCAGACCTTGTGGGGGGCCGGACTATATTTGAGGGGGGGAGAATGAACGAATTCCTATGCCCCACAAATAACCCAGAGATGCATTTAAAATAAAAGCACACATTCTACTCATGTAAAAACACACTGATTCCCAGACCGTCTGTGGGCCGGATTAGAAGGCGATTGGGCCGGATCTGGCCCCCAGGCCTTAGTTTGCCGACCCACATGTTAGGACTTCCTTCTTTGAGCAAAAAGATGTGCAAATGCCATCTTCACACTGTTGAGCATCAAACTGGGGAAGAGAGGTGTCAGTAGTGCCCAGGAGAAACATATCAGTGCTCACAGAATGGAAATTGTGTGTGTGTGTGTGTGTGTGTGTGTGTGTGTTTTGTGGGTGCTTCAGACCCAAATATGTGCAGGCTAAATATTTTTAAAGAACAAAAGAGGACTATCTCCATAAACACTGTGAGTTTATACACTCTCACAACTTACAAATAATTACTTTTTGCACAATTCAGTTCTGTTTCCAGTGCTTTGCCAAGGCCTGAGTAAGCCTTCAGCCTTCTTGGATTCAAACTAGAACTTATACCTCTGTTGTGAGTAACCTGTGACCCTCCAGATATTATTGTTCTCTGTCTCCCATCATTCCCGGCCAGCATGGCCAATGGTCAAGAATGTAGCGCAGCAACAGATGGAGGGTCAAAAGTTCCCCACTCCTATTTTGTCCTGTTTTTGTTGCTCTTTTGCCAATGCAAAAGAACTTTCCCATTTCTGTTTCAAAAAATACTTATTTGCATTTTTTTAAAAGATGCCATACACATTCATTTATTGGAGATCTGAAACAACTTTTCCAAACACATTTCTAAAAAGAAGGATTTCATTTCACCTTCAGACTGTGT